TGTAAGCGCTAATCATTAGCGTTTATGGGTTTATGATTTTTTTCCGTGCTAGTTTAAAGTATTTTTCGAGAGGTGTCTGTTATTCATGTGAATAAATCCTTTTATTAATTGCAACCAGTGTTGTTTATTGTATTTTTTCCCTTGTGTGTCATTCCTTGCTCAGCATCCAATTCCGAGAGTGAGGTGCTAATTTGAAAAAAATCACAAATAGTATTTTGTAAAAATATTGTTTAATTACAAGTTTAATGTTTATATTACATAGTGTAGTGCATTACTATATCCGGATACCATGGATTGTAAAAATCTTCCAATTTAACACTAAGCTTGTAAGTACTATTTACTTTTTTTATTTTTTGAAGTAAAACTTCTTTAGGCGTGACTAGAGTGTAAATCCGTACAAATGCAATGGAAGTGCGTTACGGCAGATAAGATAAGGTAAGAGTCGAGTGCCAATAATTCGTCATTCGGTCTCGATGATATTTCTATACAGGTCGATTGTGATTAGTCGACGTGTATGTGAATTTTTTAATTTTAATTACCGGTTTTAAAAACCGGTTTTTTGGCGAAATTATGGGATTCAAAAACCGTTTTTTTAGTGAAAAAAGTCGGTTTTTGCTGTATAAATAGAAAATGGCAAATATAGCCAAATATAAAAGATATATGAAAGCGTTTTGTATTTTGATATCATATCGGTTCAATAGCATTTGATATCTTATACGTCTGCAATGGTTCCCAGAAATGTTTTATATATATTAATTTAGATTTTTATACCAGTGTATATATTAATTTAAATCAGTATGACTTCTTCTTGAAGAAGCAACTTCCACTACTCAAACCTAAAAAAAAGAGTTTTAAACCCTAGAAGCCACAAATTAAAGAACAAAAAACTTAGAATTATTATATCAGACTTGAAAAATTATTAAGCATAATTTGGTCGCTAGTATGAGAGTATTTTATTTTCTATTTCAGGAAATTTTGTGAGTAAACAAAGGATACATCTAAGTAGCAATTCCATAGACGTTCTCAGTTTTTTGGAATCATATTTTATTAAACAGAAAACAATTAGAATGTTTAAAATTAATTAATTTAAATTTCTCGAAACAGACAATACCCGAGCTTAGCTTAATTGATTTTAAAACTAAAATTTATGTTAACAAGTATGTATCAACATGTATCTAATATTTTTTTACTTGTATTTAATGATTTTTTTTTATTTATAAACGTATTATTTTTATTTATTCGACAACTTTTCTTTCACTATCATAACAATATTTTCATTTTTATATTTGAAAATGATGATATAATAACGAATAATTATTTTTGAAGTTATTTAATCAAGATAAACTATTATTTTTTAGTTCTACTAATTAAAATTAAAATAATTTTGTTTACTATCTATAAAATTCAGTCAAATACTGCTCTCACTTTTGCGGATATATTACAGAATATTCGAGCAAAAATTTATTTTCTATATAAAATTCGAAAACCGGTTAAAACCGTTTTTTTAGTGAAATTAAAATTCGAAAACCGGTTATCTGAAATTTCGGTTAAAAAAATCGTACTATCAATTATATTTCCTTTTTACCATTGTCTACTACAAGTAAATCCATCAAATCAAGTAAGTGCATACTAATAATTCATAAAACTGTTACAAAACATGAAAAATAGCTATAAATTTACGCCCAAAATCACGCACTTTCAACATATTTTCATTCTTATCACATTTTCAAATCATTTTGTAATAAATTAAAATGCAAAATTAAATTGCACAGCCGTCGAGCAAGTAACAATATTGTAGTATGTAATTTCGAAAACCGTAAAACTTTAATCTCCCGAGCTAAAGTAGTAAAGGAAGATTTAATAGCTCAATTTGGCCGAGATACTATCTTGTTGCAATATTACTATTTTAGAGTACATACATATATTTCGAAGGATATAAAGCGTATTGACCATTAATATGTATTTAAATTTATACCTTAATTTTCATAAAAATATGTTTTAATATATGGTAGATCGGGACTTGAAATTCAACTAATAAAAATGTACACCACTATTATCTCAAAAACAAATAACGTTAGAAATTTGTCAACAGCATTATTTGAAAGTGGAGGGAAAAAGATGTGTAATCAGCCATGGCCTCAAATGAAGTAATGATATCAGGACATAAACGACCATGTTCAAATATCTAACGTATTTTTTTCGTTGTTAGTTTTGCTAATTGTGAGCACTGTTGTTTAGTTTACGAGGCCGCAATATAATTTTTAAGTATAAGTTATTTGATTATTTTACAAGATGTATTGTTAATTTTAAGTTAGATTCAACAGGTGTTTCTATTTAACTTCTAAAATAGCTTACATAAGGATGGGGTAAAAAGCACCAACTGAACCTTTATCCTGGCAAAGACATTCATAATAAAAAAATAGTAAATCATTAAATTAATTAAGTTAAAAAAGCAATTTTACAAGAGTTGAATAAAATTAATTGTTATTCTAATTTTACTGATGAATACTTCTGATGAAATACCAGGTCATGGTTATATACAGTTTGATCTTTGTAAAAAATTGTGCTATAAAATTTGTATTTGGTATTGCTTAAATAATTTAGCTACTATAGCTATTTTTTTTTCAAATAAAATTTCAAATTTTATTTCAATTAAAAGTACAATTTCTTTAAATTAAATTTTAGACAATGGATCTGTTTGCCCCCTGGATGTCTCTTTTCATCTCGCCTTTGGGGTAAAAAGGGACAGGTAACAAATTTTAGAAAAAAACATATGTTTGTGATTAGGAATTAATTGAGAAATTTGCTGAACATAGTGCAACAGTTTTTTGTTGTGTAATTGGTTTTTAGACAGTATAATTACTAAAAGTCAAATTGGACCTTTGTGCTCCGCACTACCTTAACATTTGCAAATATTGGCAAAATATTCCAACCATCTCAATTACTGTGGCAAATCGTTAAAAACAGTAGTTTTATTTTGAAAATTTAAATATCCTTAGGTCATAAGATGTAGCAAAAGGTTTTGTAAAATGTTACATAATCAAAACTATTTTGTTAAGACATACGGTTGTATCAAATGAAGCTTACTATTCAAATTTAAATTATTTAGAATACTCTTGTATAATAATAATAAAAAACCAGAACAACAAAAATGATATATTTGTAATTTTTTGCATGTCTATTGAAAAAAATTATTTTAAACTAGATCACTGGATCTCCGTCTATTAACTGATAGTCAATATAAATGAAACAGTAAAACAACTCTCTTGCTTATATCTTATTAAAAATTTCACTTACTAATAACAAAATATAAAATAATTTGCATTGATTAATTGCAACTATTCATAAAATAATAATAATTAAAATTTTTGATAATAAATTCATACATAATAATTACAATTATTTAATACAACAACATTTTTTTTATTAATTTTGGCTATACTCTGTGTCAATATATTAAAAACAATCAATTCTAAGTGAAATCTTTCCAAAACACTTTTAGTGTTTAACTGAAATAACAAATTAACATTAATTTAATTTTTTATATTTAATTTTTAATTTATATATGTAGCTGTTGATATTTTTAATTTGTGCCACGTTCATAAATAAAATGTGGAAACTAAATATTACCACCGCAAAACATTTTCTCACATGGATTTTAAAAAACAGTTCTATACATGGCTTACAGTATATTGTACAAAATAAAAGGAGTACCCTTGAAAAGTAAGTAAGAAATAAAATTTATTCGTTTCATACCATCAGAATATTAACCGAATAGGGTAGGGCGGGGCACAAAAGTCCAGTTCAAATATCAATAATTATACTGTCTGAACTAAATGAACATTACAATATATAACAGGTATCAAACAAGCAACTATCGTACTATATTCAGTATAACTAAAAGTTTTTCCTAATTATAGAAATGAGTTTTTAGATATTTTTCTAGAATATTATATATTAAATAAAATTTGTTATATTAATATAAAATATTGTATTCTACCCCTTTTTACTCCATGGGTTGGGTAAAAAGGGACAGTCATCGGGCAAACAGATACAATGTTTTATATTTTATAATAGAAACATAGAGAAGGGCGGGCACAAGTGTCCAATTGAACTTTGAGCATTTATATTGTGGAAATCAAAACAATTTTATTACAACAATTGATACATGTCAAACAAACAAATACCTGACTATGTTCAGTAAAATCTCTAGCTAATTATTGCGGAATTTTTTTTTGCTGTTTTAAAAAAAAAATCACCTCCTCCCCTCCAGGAAGCAAACAGGTCCAAAATCTTATTTTTTATTTTAAATGGATTTTACGGAATAATGTATATTCAACCAATTCACAATATAAATTTCCTGGGCACATTTTTTACAAAGGCAACATTGTATATAACCTTGATCTGGTATTTCATCAAAAATTTTCATCAGAAATATTCATCAGCAGAGTTGGAATAACTCTTAATTTAATTTATTTTTTGTAAAATTACCTTTTTTAACTTAATTTTCTTTATAATTCAATATTTTTATTGTCCACACCTTTGCCAAGGTAAAGGTTTTGTTGGTCCTCTTTACCCCACCCAAGTTTATGCTGTTATAGATGTTATATAAACAAAACTGTTAAATCTAGCTTAAAATTAACAATACATTTTATAAAACAATTCGATAACGTGCACTCAATTGTAACAAATTAAATTGAAATCTCGTTAACTAAACAACAGTGCTCAAAACCAAAAAAACTAACAACGAAAGACAATACTTCTGTTATGGATTTTCAAACATTTCCGTTTATGCTCCTATAGCAACGTCGTAAGAATCAAGGTGATGACTGGTTAAACATTTTTTTTCCCTCTACTTTCAAATATTGTCATAAAATTCCTGTTATTTAGATATTGGTGGTAGACCTTTTTACTTATAAGTCATGCTCTATCCTATGCATTTAATTCATATTTCGACCTAATCTCAAGGTGTCTTATTTGACTAATAAATATATTTTAGGATGATCTGGTTATTAGCCGCTTTGGGTGGCTTATATGGTTCGATTGTTTGTGGATTAGTGAAGCTCAATAGATATCAAACGGCGGCCTCAGTAACAGTTTTCGACGTCGATTGGAGGACATTCAACATCACATTTCCAGCAATTACGATCTGCAGAGACGAAAAAGTCAACATGACGGCGGTCAGAGAATATGCCAAGTAAGGATAAATAATATACACTAAATAAAAACTAATCGTATATAGCAATGATTCTTTAAGGATAGAATACTCCCTAATATATTTTTTACTACAGATTATTCGTGCTAAAATAATGAGTATGATCAAGTGCCATTTGAGACCAACCACTTGATCTCCTTTCAAAATTTTTAAAACTCTATGACTATTTTTAGTCTTATTTTTTTTCTATATTCTCAAAACATTACTTAATAACTTGTAAAAAAATAAAGTTAAAATATTGTTTGCCTTTTTACGGCCTTTCAAAAACTGCATCTTTATATATAAAAGTAAAGGCGGTAAAAGAGTGTCAGAGGTATAAATTTTATGGAATTTTTGAAAGGCCGTAAAAAAGCTAACAGTATTTTAACTGTTTTAATTTTGACTGTATTAATTAATGTTTCGAAAATATAGAAAAAAATAAAACTAAAAATAGTCATAGTTGTACAAATTTTGAAAGATGATCAAGTCGGCGGTCCCAAATAATTCGCCCTGACCCATACCCATTATTTTAGCATTTTCAAATAATCTGAAAAAGAAAAATATTATTATCAAGCTAAAATAATGTCGATCACATATGGACTCCGGTCAAGTTTAAAAAAAAATTACAGAATAGCAACTGTCTGAAAAAAGCTTTACAACTTTTTTTGATATTCTTGTATTTTCCAAAAATAGTTTAAATCGGAGTTTGAGGATCAGTGTGGTTAATACTGAAGAGAAATCTGTGAAGAAGACTCTGTAACAATTTTAAGTAAATCGATCTAGCAGAAGTTAAGAAATCGTGGGTATCTTATCGAGAAAGACAGTTTCGATCAAAATGAGGTTGAAGTTTTACGAAAGGAAAGGAAACCCAGGTGGATTATTGTAGTCAAACAGAAAGGTAATCGAATCAGGGGTCTCAAATAATTGGCACCTGTCCACCATTGGCAGCTTTGGCTACAATAATCCACCTGGGTTTCCTCTTCCTCCGTGAAATTACAACCGCATTTTTCTCGAAAATGTCTTTCTCGATACGATACCAACGATTTCTTAACTTTTACTAGATCGATTTACTTGTAAATTTTACAGAGTCTTCTTTGTAGATTTCTATGTCTTCAAAAATAATTTAAATTTGAAAAAATCTCCTGTACACATACTCTTGAATACTTGGACTTTAAACACATCTAAAAAAACAAAATCGATTTCAAAAAAGAATTCGCCTATTAGAGCATTGGCGTAGTATTTCATATCTCAATTAAAAGTATCTAATAATTTTATCATAAAGAGAAGAAACAACCATTGGGTTGCCTCCTAATAAAGCAATGTAGTAGGAAATGCATAACAACAGCTTATAGAATTCTAAAATTAGATCTAATTGCTGTTCAAATAATAATAATTATGAAACAATTACATAATTATACTGATTTAATAATTGTCTGAAAATAATATGAGTTTAGTTTTACGAGTTATAGTTCAAATTATTTATTTAGTTTTGTTTTCACATGCAAGTTTTAAATATAATGGATATAGCCGTTGAATATGATAAAAATCTAGTGAAAACTATCTCAATTTTTGTACAAAATTCCAAAACTATCCTTGAAGAAAAATAGTCAGTTAAGATAAGAAGTATATTTTTAGGATCATCAAATATCGACACAAAACAAGTTATTCTTTTATAAAAAAAACTATAGAAAATACGATAATTTATTATTAAAAACATTTATTAATATAAGCATATTTATTTCCCCAGAATCGTTATTTATTACACTATTACGAATCTTACTCATCTTCATATAGGCTCGGCCTGTTTTCCTCAAAAACTATTGAGCTTTAGGCGAGTTAAATAAACCATAAATATTCATACGAAATTACGCTAACGCAAAATTATGGGGCCGATTCTGCCATAAAATAGATCAAAATTCTGGGAAGGCTATGTTATGTAGGAGTTTTATACAAAATGGTACTAAATACTGTCAAAACCTGACCTAGAAAACGCATAAATGTCAAAAAAATGATCTTATATAACAGGGTCTTTTTGACCCAGCTTTATAACATAAGTGAAGTTGCAGTTTATGTGTAAAATGTCCAAGCGCACAGCATACATGGCATTTTGACAGGATTTAGTAGCGTTTTGTATAAAAACTGTAACATAACATAGTCTTACCATAACATTGGTCTATTTTACGGCAGAATCGGTTCATATATTTCATAGAAATAATTTGCATATATTTGTGTAATATATTTTGACTTAAATTTTGCACATATATTGCAAAACTTAAGAAGCATCCGACAGAATAGTTAAGTAATTAGCATTGACCATGGCGAAAAATGTGTTAAATTTTGAATTTATAATCTCCTTTATCTAAATTGTCTCCCAGATTATTAAAAATCAATTCCACTTAAATATTCTAGAGCCACCTTCCAAGATCAAGAAGAAGCCCAGCGGTTCGAGACCACGATGGAAGAGCTCGGAAAATTAAATTTGAATCACATGCATCTCTCTCCTCATCCTAATATAGAAGCTGAGGATTTTTTGGAAAATATTCTCAAATTTGCGAATAAAGAAAACGCAATTATAGACACCGAGGTGACAAAAATAATGAATTTTATGCAGAATTCACAACTTCAAGAAGTCATCACAGAGATTGGAATTTGCTCCGCCGTCAATTCGCCTCTTAGTCATTATCAATCGCCGGGGTAAAGTTGAAAAAAGATTAAATTTAAAATATATTATAGATTAAAATAAAATGAACAAACAAAAAATTGATACATACCACACCACGAAAAACAATAACAAAAATTTTTAATTGAAAATATAACATAATAAATAAAGTTTTTTTTTAAGTTAAACTAAATATTTATGTCATACTATCAATATTTAATTATTTCATGTGCATACTAAAAAATATAAAATATTTAATAATAGTTAATTAATTAACTTCCCTTAGAGTAAATGATAGTAATCGCAAATAAATCTAAAATAAATTTTTTTATATGCCTTCACATTTCAAAGCCTTCTGAATTTTTTTATACCTTAGAAAAAATGGATCCTATGTGTTTGTGTGTATGTGTGTACACGATGTATGTATATGCGGATACAATTTTTCGTCGACGATTTTGAAAACACGGATCAACCGATTTGAATGATTCAAAAAACATTTAACTCCTATTGATAAGGAGACGTATTGATTAGTTTCTGGCAAAGGCAGGTCTAGTCATTGTAATTAGTATACAAATTACTATACAAATGATATAAATCATTTAAAGGTGTGTTCGATTTCGTATTGGTAAAGTGCCCAACCCCATAAAATGCAAAAAAATTAAGTGACCTAATGATTAAATATTTTTTATATTTACATACTTTTTGACTATGTTCAGCTTCAATATTAGAGTTCACTTGTATGAGTTCAACTATTGAACCGATTTTTAATTAGATTTGCTCTTCGTTATCTTTTATGGTTTAACCAACTTGGTCCCTTGTATCACAAATGTGAGAGAAATACAGAAAAATCTGCACCTAGCATATTCCTATTTTATTATAATTATATTAAAAAATCAATTTTTTTTTAAATACTTGTTAAAACTAAGTCTGTAAATATTTCGATTACTAATATATTTATTGAATTATTTATTAATTAGAAGTAAACTAAATCGGATTCAAAATTAATAATTTTATTAAGTTGTCTTTTTTTTATATCAGGTACTGGAAATCTAATTCAAGAGAAGTTAATATGACCACACCAAAAATAATGAAGGCAAATGCTTTAGATGGCCAGGTGTCAGTGCATATTTCGAAAATGTACAACACATCTTATACGGTAATAAACAGAATATAATATTCAATATATCTACATATAAAACAACGATATTAAATATACATAAAACTAAATTAAGTCGGTAATAGATGAATTTGTTAATTAATCACCAAGAAATAGAGCCTGGTTCGTCTTTTCAAAAAACTTATCAGCACAATTACCAACTGATTTGGGATATTTTTCGAACAGTTTTCGAACAGTTTTTGAATTTATAGAATAAGTTCAGGATTTTTTGCTAAAACGTGGACAAAATATTATTACATTTTTCTTCTGAAAAAAAAACGGATGTTCTATTATCGCGCAAAATTATTCAATGCATGTCCTTGTCAAATCACATCTAATGACTTCTATCTTTTTTTAATGAAAAAGAGTATTGACAAATTTTATATAGCCAAGGCAGAGTACGGTTGTGCCACTTGTTTTGGTTAGCAATGATTTTTGTTAATTTACTAGTAGAAAAGTAAATTAAATGGTAATTTAAATGTTTGTCTACGTGAAAATCCTACTTTTGATAGGATGAATTAGCCATGAAAACAATCATCGACCACATCCTCAGGGTTTGGTCAATATTTAAAATTAATTTATAAAAATTGCTCAGAATTGTTTTTAAAACTAAAATTGACATTAACAAATGTATTAATATGTAAATAATACACACACACACACACACACACACATATATATATATATATATATATATTAATTTAATGAAAGTTTTTTATTTAAAAATGAATTTTTCTATTTATTCGGAATCTTTTCTTTCGCTATCATCAAAATATTTACGTTCTTATGACTGAATTTATTTGTTGTTTGATTTCATGGAAAACACATATATAGATATAGTAAATAAATTAATTTTAATTTTAATTACTAAAACAAAGAAATAGTAATTGATAATGTTATTTCACATATATATATGTAAAAATGATGCATAAATAACTAATAATTATTTTCAAACTTATTTAATTCAGATCAATTATAATTTCTTTGTTTTAGTAATTAAAATTAAAATTAATTTGTTTACTATATCTATATATTTGTTATCCGTGAAATCGAACCACAAATAAATTCAGTCAAAACTGCTTTAAATCACACTAAATTTGCCGATAACTTTTTTTTTGTTATTACAGAATATTCGAACATAAATTCATTTTCTATATAAAAGTTTAAAAACCGGTTAAAACCAGCTTTCTGGAAGAAATGCTATTCTTAAGCCTGTTTTCAAATGTAGGTTTTTGTATAAACCCTAGTCATTTCAATAATCAACCAATATTTTACTTTTAGAATTTTAATGTAAAAGCACCTTTGAGTATTGATTTTTAATAAGCTATGCCTGACGATTTCCACGTTATCATTATTTATAAATCTTAAGTGTATTTCATCATCATTTTCTTTTAATCAGTAATCTCGTGTTCTATACAAAGCGTTTTCCTGAGAGCGAACATTAAAAATCGATTTTCCGTGAGTGTTCTATGCAAACGGTATTAGCGAAAGGGATTTTGATTTGATAAAATTCAATTTAACTTTTCTGCCTTTTTTTAGGGATTCATACATGGAGCGTTTGAAATTTTGGATGTTCATAAAGGGATACATTGGCAATCGATGGATTATATATCTGTGGATTTAAATGTGAAAGAAATCACTTCTGAGAAAGATATAAGAAGGTAAACTGCTAAAAACGGTAAGGTGTACGGTAAGGTGCTAGTTGAATCATTACAATGAAAACTCAAAAATCTTGAGTGCGATTTATAACGATAAATATCGAAAAATACGACTTGATATTTTTATTTGAATAATTATTTTATTACTAAAGTGTTTTGCGCAGAAACGATACTGCTGTACGCGCCAGAAAGCCGCTCACGTATTTGCTACAGAACGTATTTTAATATTTACCTATCATTATCAATAAAAACTTTTTTTTATTGTTTATTAGTTGACTTTGTATACACGTACATTAGTCATATACATTTTATAAGTTATCTTTACAATTTTATTTTATTTGATTGTATATAATTATATAGCGCACTATATATTCTTTATTTTTCAATAATGTTATAAAATTAGTAGGAAGGGTGATTTTTGCCTTACTATCTCCCTTCATAGTTCTTGTCTACCCTTTTCCCATTTTTTGCACTCCATAAAGGAGTGCTCTGCATCCGCCCTAGTCGCTCCACCCAAGCAATAGCATTTAAATATATTTAAGTAGTACTGTAATGTATTTAAAAATTAAAAATTAAAATTCTAGAGAAACTGAAAAGCATCAAACAAATTAAAATTTTCAATAATCTAACTCGTAGTTATAAATATTTAAGCATGAATCGACTCACTGGATGTCGCATATAGGCGACACTCGTACATACTAACTGCTAAGCGGATGTCGCCTATAGACGACGATCGTTGCAAAAGAGTTAATGACAATTATGCCGAAATAAAAATTTATTGAAAAGCTCTAAAATTAATAAACAGTAAAATTAAAAAGTTGTTAGACGATATGAGAACTTTCTGAAATAGGGTAAAAGTTCTCGTGTAAGAATTTTTTCACAACAGTATTTGAAAGTAGAGAAAAAAACGTATAACCAGCCATCACCTTGATTCTTACAACGTTGCAATTTTACAATCGAGATATAAACGGCAATGTTTGATAATCCATAACAAAAATATTTTCTTTCTTTGTTAGTTTCTTTTGGCTGTGAGCACTATTGTTTAGTTCATGAGACCTTAACATAATTTTTAAGTGCACGCTATTTAATTGTTTAATAGGATGTATTGGTAATTCTAAGTTAGATTCAACAGTTTTTTTATATAACCTCTATAAAAGCTTACATCTGGAAGGGGTAAAATGAACCAACTGAACTTTTACTCTGGCAAAGGTGTAAAAAATAAAAAATAGCAATAAAAAAGTATATTAAGTTAAGATATAATTGGTTTGGTTGTCAGAATATAATTGCTCAAAATCAAATTCGATCTTTGTGCCCCGCCCTACCCTATTTATAAACCTGAGGACTTCGATATTATCACAACACATCAATACTGTTTTGCAAAATTTAAAAAAACTTAAATGGTTCATTTATATCTTCCTTCATATAAGAATAATAAATAGATCTGGGTTGAAATTTTACCTGAAGTTAAATATTTTTCTACATTTAGCTTTAGAAATAAATCTAACAAAAAGTAAGAACTACTACATCAAGTTATGCAGTTTCTTCAGTGATAATGAAACAAAGTAGATAATTTTAAGTATCTAGTAATTTCTAATAGAAAGTGTTTACAATTATCTAAAGTAATTTATATTCTTATAAAGTTAAATAGTATTTTCTAACAAAATAAAAATAAAATAATGACCAAAAATATAATCACCTACGAGTGCAGTATAACAATTACTTCCTCTTTTCTCAAATCTTTTTTTGACGATTCGTTTAAAATCTGTTCTGCAACAATACGTGTTTTGTTAAAAAATAATGAAAAAATATAGAAGAATATATATTTTTATGTATGTGTTAAAAAGGTAGATATTCTTTAAATTACCATTAGATAGACTCATGATCACGTAATTTATAATAAGCTGTCGTGTATAAAACTGCTGATGTTCGTATAACACGCGAAGTACTAATGTGAATCACTGGTGTGAAAATAAGAAATTGAATAAAATTTTTGTCATTTAAGTTATAAAACTAGTGGTGCATGGCATCGTGCCTTCAGAGAAATTCCCGTACCACAATTAAATATTTGAGCAAAAAATTAATAATCAATCAATTTTGATCATGGATTAATAACAATTGTTTTAAATATTTTCAAAGAGATAATTACTATATATTTATTAGTTCACATAATATACAGTGTTAACTTGAATATGTTTACATTAAGAAGTGCTAAATTTATTCATCTGAGGATATATTTCTTTCGAGTAGAATAACGCATATGAAATATATACAGTTATAAACTGAATTGTAAGATTTATATTTAAAGTAAAAAGTAAAGTAAAAATTTTGAAATAAGATTTTTTCTGAAGATTTTGAACCTTATTTGAACCGAATAAGTGAACTATAAAAATTAAAAATTTTGGTACGAAACCCAAAAAATTTTAACAAATTTAGTTCTTATTATTAAAATATCTATAAAATATATGATAATTTGATTAATTTTGAATAAGTCTCATTATCATTTTAGACAGTCAAATATTTTTTTTACATTTTTCTCTGTATCTTCGAAACCGCTAGACCTGTCTACCTAAAAATTATTCCAATTCTTCCTTTCGTCAATACAAATACATGTTATTTGATTCATTCAAATCGGACAATTCGTTATCCCAAAAACTGAATTATCATTTTTGACCCTTTTTTCTCCGTGTCTTTGAAATGACTGGATCTGCCTTTGCAAAAACTAATAAGCACGTCTCCTTATCAATATTAATCGGATGTTTTGTTAAATTATTCAAATAGCTTGATTTGTGTTCCCGAAATCATCGACGAAAATTGGTATCCAAACACACAAATGCCCATACATCATTTTTTTCTAAAATATGCCAAATGTTCAGAAACCTCTAAAACGTAAAAAAATGCAGAATTTTTTATTTTCGATTTTTTAGCGATTTCTACACTTACCCTACGGGAATTTAATAGGTAATAAAATTAATTATTAGTAATGAAAAGAATTATATTCTTGATATAATCGGATTACAAATAGTTACAATATCGTACTAAAATCTAAAAACCGTATTCGATATTTGAAATTTGTAATACCGGGATCCCGTCATTTATACCAGTATTATCAATGAAAAATTTACGTTAATTAGATATAAGGACAATGCTCGTGGAGGACTAATAATTTGTATAAGTGAGTTCCATTCATTACGTCGTATATAAATATAAAATTATATATTTAACAATTACTAAAGTTAACAATAACAATTTATGTAGTTAACAATCTCTTTATCTTGCCTGAATCGAAATGATGTGTTATACTGGGCTGAGCCGAGTCGGCAATAGTGTAAAACTTGTGTATGTGTATTGCGTAAGTTAAATTTTTAACAAAATTTTGGTAATCCCAAAATACCGGTATTATTGTATCAATACCGGTATTGAAACCGGACAAAAATCGTCCGGGATCCCGCTATTTGGGATCACGGAATCTCGGTATTGTAAGCCCTAGTTACAATTGATATAATAATATAAGCTATATAATTTTTAAATTTGTATTAGAAAGCGACTTCAGCAACTTTATTAATGCAATGATTATGAAACCTACTGAATAAAACGAATGCAGATTTATTATTATAAAAGACACATTAATCTACTGGTACAGTGAAGTTTATCAGTTTATCTCAAATTAGCGAAGGACTTATATGAAAACTAAATTGTTGATCAATCAGTGAAATATAAAATTGCTAAATAAAACTGAGTTAAAAAAAAAAAAACTGAAATATAAATTCTAAATTGCAATATTTTGACATGAATGAAACAAAAATATATTATTGCTACCATAGTAGCGTTGATAGGTAGATTTGATCCGAGTAGCCGACTAGGCAAACAAGAGACTACTGAATATTTTAAATTAGCCTAAAAAAATATTTTTTCCAAAATGATTTTGTAAGTTTTTTTTTACAAATTTCATATAATTTAATCGGGAAAAATTTCATTGAAAATGGAAGGACTTTGGCAACATCCTTTGATAAAAAAGGCGATTTACGGTATGGTGGCACTAACAATTGATGAACCTCCTAAAGGTAAATTCATATGTCACATACGTAACGATTACAATAATTTTATAATATTGAGTAAACTTGTAGAAGCTATGAACACGGATACGATACAAATCATAGTAGCTGGTAGCAACGTGACTTTTGTCAAGGATCTTTTAAATAATACAATTCACAAAGGGTTACGAAATGGATATCTAGAACGTACGTGTAAGTAATCAATTTTTTATATTGTCATTATTATTTATGATCTTATCTAATTAATCATGCGCCTGTAGAGTGCATGCTATTCACTTACTTCACTATATCATGTATTGTCTCAGTTTTATTTTTTGTGCACTTTGATTTTTGTCTCGTCCAATTATTTTCCTGATTAACGTTTACTATAAAAACTGAACCCACATGTTACCTAAATAGTAAATAGTAGTATTGTTTGATAATACAAGAGACTGGGTGTGGTTGTGTCACCTTTCTTTTGATCATTCATAATTTTGTTAGTTTATCAGTTAGGTGGGAGGAATATAAATGAAATGGTAATTTGAATATTTGTGTACATGTAAAACTGTCCTTAAATACTCTGTATTAATCATATAATCGGGACGGTTGTGACAAGCATAAAAATAGGTTAAAATCAATTGGTATTAACACCAAAATGGTTTATAACAACCTTTTATTGTTCCTAATAACAATAATATGTAACGCAACACGCAACATAGCATAAACATTTAACCTAGTGTTTATGACATCATACCCTAAGGCAAATAGCTGGAACTTCCCCTAGCGTTATGAAATATTATAAATACTGTAACTTTCATTATTCATATTTTATAGACGTTATAATTTTTTATTTAAAGTATATGAGTGAGCTTTAAAACTTTAACTAGAATTAAAATTGAAATACGAATTATTTTAGATATTCAAAAAAAATATTTTTTAAAAATTAATCTTTTTTCTTAAATTTTGAATTAAAAAA